TTTCTTCTAACACTTTTTTCACACTTGTTCAGTTACAATTAACATAAGCAGAGCAGAACTATCAAGCTAGAAGCATAGGTCAAGGTCAGCTTCAATTAGATCAGGTAATCCAGCTCATTTCCTCTACATAAAGGGCTGTTTTCAGGCCTGGATCCATCCTCTGATCCCTCACCAGATCTGCAGACCTCATTTAGACCCCTGGTGATTGATACTGCATGAATTACACACGGTCAAAGTTTTATCGAAGGTGATACTTCTGCCTCATATAGTATATTATTCTGCCTCATTACTATGTATGTCCAATTCCATTCCTTGTGCTTTCTAACATCTTGTTAAGTTTCCTCAGTCACAGAAGGTTGCGTCTGTCACAAAGTCAGTGGGGCTACGCTTCAGGAACCTCAGTGGCCCTGAAGGCTTATCAGCCGGGTCTACCCTGACAGACAGACTGCCCCAAATATATTCACCAAAACACACAGAACATTACCAAATGCAAAATGGCAAAGAATTCTTTTTAGCTTGAGGGGAAAAAAACCAACAAAATCAAAAAACCTTAATGCTCAAAGCATGAGTTTGATTCTTCTTTACTGATGAGTAACTTTTACCTTGAATGCATTGCCAATAACAATAAATACAATACCATTTCAGGGCACTACTGGGGAAATGCTGTTCGTTAAAATTCAGCAACAAGAGAATGATCTACATAAGCAAGTCTTCTCACACAAATGCAACAGTTTCTACCGCTTATGCACCTTTACCTATCATTCTGCTTCAGTTTCTCATCTTTATTAGAGAACTAATATATAAAGATTGTTACCTCCCAATAGATGCAATGTTCCCCAGTGTATAAAACACTGCAAAGAGCGTCAGCCCTTTCCCTGGTACCCATAGCAGGCAACTACCCTAAAAAGAAACATTTAGAGAGAAAGAGGAGAAAAAAAATTAATATTGCTTTTAAATTGCAAAAGAAATATATCCAAGAAATGTCACGACACAAAAGAAGTCTTAGGAAAACTTAAACCCAAACTGCAGAATCACTCACACACACACACAAAAGTAAACTGCATTTATTGGCATTCTTGTTAAGAGTTAGTGCATTGCATCTAACTGGAACCAAGTCAGATGCCTTCCCAGAGAATCAAAGAAATCAAGCAACAGCACACAGCAAGGCTGTAACTACTAGGGCTCCTGAAACTGAAATATCGGGGAGATCTGGCAAAAAGTCCTTACCAAGAGTGAGCACAGGCATCCTATCGCAAAACAAGCGATGAAGCCTTTCACTCTGGTGCCCCAACCTAATGAAGTTGCATCAATAACCTAGAAACGAGGAGAAAAATAAGAGTGCAAGTTATTGTTTACTAAAGATCTTGCCACGTATAAAGCGTGTAAATTTCCTCCGAGATGCTAAACTGCGTCCTAGCACAAACGGAGCCTCGGTTTTTAAGCACCCTCTTCAACTGCCCGTAGGAAGCGCGGGTGCTGCTAAGGGACCTCCCCATTAGGGAGCAGCGACGGGGAGTCCCTGCAGGAGGGAGCGCTGCCTCCCGCCGGCGGGGGACCG